TCTTTAGCCAAGGAAGCGGCTGGACTAAGAATTTTAGGACCCAGTGGCACCTACGGCATGATGACAATTGCGGAACTAGCCAAACGGCACACCCATGCTCAATCCCTCAAGAGATGGGATGGAATCAAAGGATGCAATCTTGTCAGGGGTCTGGGCCAGGGCCCAGGGCCTGGGTGACCCTGGGAAGCTGGCGCCGAAGAAATATCTAGATCAACAGTAGGATTTCCGACTGGCCAGTGTCAACTAAGGAAACACCTCCATAATATGGGGCTAGTGGAAACACCTCTATGTATGATATTTGAAACGGAAGATGAGACTGTCAGGCATGTCCTATGCGAGCACCCGCACCTTCTGGGAAAGGACAGGATGGACGATGACCTAGGAGGACAACTCCTCGGGAGGATGTACGTTGAGTCACATGTGGTATGAATGCTGTGGGCTTACACTCACCCTCCCTACTCTACAGATACAAAGAGATAACCTGGCATGTGGCCTGAATGCCACTTCCACATTGTTTTTTCCGAAAAAGCCCGCAATTGTCTCTGTTCTTTTTCTAAAATAGGATTATCGATCAGCCGATTATCGTGCTGATTTTTTTGTAATTCTGTATCAGAAAGTAATCATAATAAAGCAATACTTTTCGCTGAGACTACACCTACTTTAGCTCGTCATCCCGCTCGGTCTCTGGCTCTAATCAGCTGAATTAATTGACGACGTTTAACCGTTTACATAATCAACGAGTGAATATACAGCGTTCGCCATTGGTAAACACTAGCGATAAAGCATTTACCTTAATTGAAAAGTCGAACTATACTGTCAGCGACAAAAGTGATGGATCTATGTAGTTTTGTAATTCAAACGCCAAACTGGCTCGTTAACTACCATGTTAATGCCCTCCGTTAACCCCGAATCGTTGATGATTATCATTATGATGTTAATTGAAAAACAAACACGTTGATGAAAAAGTGAACGGGAAATTATGCATCCTGATTGTTGTTCGTGTCCCCAAAGGTGTGCTCATCTGAACATGTTTGTCAACTGAGGAATTNTACCGTTCATATTTTCTGAAGCTTTATGTCTGTTTAACACGAATTTCAACTTGTGAATTACACTAGCTGGGACCCAAATTGACCTGGTGGAATGACTCAGTGCAACTGGTTATTTATCGATTCTTCAGTCCAGAATTTCCACAAGTTATATTACTCACAGCCCCTAGAAAGGGGTTCCTAAAAGAGCCGCTTCGAAAGTACCGTCATCGAGGAAACACGCTCACGTATGACAATGACTAATACTTTATCTCCAAACGCATCTCCATTGAGCCTTCGATTCTCGACTACGGCAATAGAATATGAAAAACCGGAAGTAACAACGTTACAGGTACACCGCTTCTTCGATGGTTTTGTTGATGATGATGATGACTACAAACATTCCACCTGTATTCGTCGACCTTGACTGATCGCAAAACTCGCAGTGAGTCATACCTCGAAGAATCCGAGAGTTCGATCTCCTCTTGATGCCCCAAGTCCATGTCAGGACGGTCTCGTTTTTTCAAATGTCGTTTTTTACCGCCGAAGCGGTTGTGTTTTCAGCTTTTACGCAACGTCTCTTCTTGATGTGGATTCACTGTATTTTCTTATCAAAGATTGGTTTCCTGTTCATTTCGAAGTCATTTTCGAATGAAAATGAACGAATCACTTCTTACGAAAGAGTTCGTAGAAGAGCGACATAATTCACTTGTATAAATATACAAAAACGGTCATTTCAATTTACTTACTATGAATTTTATTCCATTCGTGAATAATGAGAGCAACAGTATGGCAATGTGAACAGTTGATAAAAATAACGAGGATATTCATTGGTAACTATCTCCGTTCACTAGGATTTTAATAACAAATGCCACTTACTACATTCATCTCGACATCTTTGTCCACACTTTTGATCCACTGACACTCTTTAAGATTCTAATTGGAGGATAACAAAAATAGCTTTAATTCACTTTGAAGAAGATCGATATGAATCTATTTACTGATTATAGCAGTTAATTATACAGTTTGAATGAAGGGTCAGTTGAAATTTCAAAAGTAACATGCATGTATATAGAAAAGGAGGGGAGGAAACCGCATACACGTGTTTCTGGCTATTGGCCTCATCAGCGCGGTGCAGCCAAGTGACAAGATATACAACACTTGGTTGCCGAAAACGGGGAAACAACGCATACGAACGGAGTCACCCACTGAGGGAATTAACAGTGAAAAATTCCCAACTCCCAGAATGAAATATATTTGAATTTTAAAATTTTAATAAACAATGCCTCTATTTAAACATCTCATGGATAAGGATTGATATCATGATACGAATGTCATCATCTTGCAATTCTACTTGTGTTTTGTTTAACTAATTTGAACAAAAGAGCCAGTTAGCAACTTAACTATAATAGACATATGTGGTTTTCGCTGAAAAAACGTACATAGTGTGTCAAAAAGTGAGTTTTTGACTTACAGGTAGTTTTTTCACACATTTTTTTGGTAATCGTATGTTCAGAAACATTCGCTGAAAAAGGTATATAGTGAGTCATTTCAAAAGTACTGTACAATTTACAACAGGATTTTTTTTTTCATTAGTTCCACCTACTTTATATTGAAAAGCGGCTTCGGCCTGTCTCAATTCAAAATCAGGATAAATTTTTTGATGCATATTATCATAATTCAGAAAAAATTTCAACGAAGATTCAAAAAGTAATACATTCTTTGTTCAGTTATTGGATCAGGAGTTGGGAGTTGAGAGGCTCTCGCTCCTGAACTTAATTTACAGGAATGTCAGTTGGAGTCGTAAACTCGACATCCATCTCCTCTGTAGACTCAGTGTCGGGAAGAATTTTTTAAGTTTACTCTGTCCATGAAAGTCACACGAGTAGCTAGGAAAAGGTCAATTACGGCAGAGTGCCGTGTAGCGTTCTGTAGAGATAGCTGATAGGTCCAGTGTCATTCATCTTCTCGGCACGGATACACACATCTTAGGATTAAGCCATCGTTGGGATGCCATTCAGTTAGGGAATAACAGAACCACAAGTGATTCTGTCATTCCCGTATCCAGCGGGGCTACGTGGAAGCAGGCATCCGATGGCAGGTTTGCTAAACCCCCACATCCCAAGTCAATGCACTGGCTTAAAACAGCATGCACAATGGTTCAGGCAGTGAAAGATGAAAAAGTACAGCCAACCCGCCAAACGTGAAACATGGACTCATTAAGAAGAAACTGGTATGTCCCACCACAAATTATGTAATATGGCAAGATCAAAAGGTCAAACAGTCTGATCTTTCTCTTGAAGATGATCACTTAGTAATCGAAACACGTGTCGAGGTGTTAAAATAATGGTTTGGTGTTGGGAAAATCTCCAAATAATAATCATTACTATAACAAAGGTTCCAAACAGTGCATTTGCTTGAATCTTTTGGGTATTTTTCCCTTTGGAAAAGACATTTCAATTGTCTTCCAATTTTTCTCTTTATCACTTACTGGACGTGTACTACAAATCAATGGGATACACTAAACGGAACACATTGAAAAAGGGAAATGAAGAGGTGACTTCCTTAAGCAAAAATATCCTACAATTTTCACTAGTTCGGACTTCCATTGTCTACTATATAAAATGATTTGAAATCCCTGAAACAAGTAAAAAAGAGTAATTAAAAAAGAATAGTTGAAAATAACAATTATATTAAGCAACAATAAACCTGAAATGAAATGATAGT